TGTCGTTGTGTGTCGCTGTCTCTCTTGCCTCTCAGATTCTTTTGGTCGCTGTGTGTCGCTCTGTCTCTCTCGCCTCTCTATGTCGTTGTGTGTTGCTCTGTCTCTCTTGCCTCTCTCTTTTTGCCGTTGTGTGTCGCTCTGTCTCTCTAGCCTCTCTATGTCGTTGTGTGTCGCTCTGTCTCTCTTGCCTCTCTATGTCGTTGTGTGTCGCTTTGTCTCTCTTGCCTCTCTTTTTTGGCCGTTGTGTATCGCTCTGTCTCTCTTGCCTCTCTATGTCGTTGTGTGTCGCTCTGTCTCTCTTGCCTCTCTATGTCGTTGTGTGTCGCTTTGTCTCTCTTGCCTCTCTATGTCGTTGTGTGTCGCTCTGTCTCTCTTGCCTCTCTCATTCGGTCGTTGTGTGTCACTCTGTCTCTCTTGCCTCACTATGTCGTTGTGTGTCGCTGTCTCTCTTGCCTCTCAGATTCTTTTGGTCGCTGTGTGTCATTCTGTCTCTCTTGCCTCTCTGATTCTTCTGGTCGTTGTGTGTCGCTGTCTCTCTTGCCTCTCTGACTCTCTCAGTCGTTGTGTGTCGCTCTGTCTCTCTTGCCTCTCTCTGTCGTTGTGTGTCGCTTTGTCTCTCTTGCCTCTCTGACTCTCTCAGTCGTTCTGTTTCGCTCTGTCTCTCTTGTCTCTCTGTTGTTGTGTGTTGCTCTGTCTCTCTTGCTCTCCTCTCTCAGTCGTTGTGTGTCGCTCTGTCTCTCTTGCCTCTCTCGGTCGTTGTGTGTTGCTCTGTCTCTCTTGCCTCTCTATGTCGTTGTGTGTTGCTCTGTCTCTCTTGCCTCTCTATGTCGTTGTGTGTCGCTCTGTCTCTCTTGCCTCTCTATGTCGTTGTGTGTCGCTCTGACCCTTTTGTGTCCCCGTGTCTCCGACTGACTCTCTCTCTCTCAGTCGTTGTGTGCCGCCCTGTCTCTCTTGCCTCTCTTGCCTCTCTCAGTCGTTGTGTGCCGTCCTGTCTCTCTTGCCTCTCTTGCCTCTCTCAGTCGTTGTGTGTTGCTCTGTCTCTCTTGCCTCTCTCGGTCTTTGTGTGTCACTCTGTCTCTCTTGCCTCTCTCGGTCTATTTGTCTGTCTCTCTTTTCTGTTGTCTCTCTGCTTCTCTTGCTTCTTTGCTCTCATTCGTTGTGTGCCGCCCTGTCTCTCTTGTCTCTCTCTCTCTCTTTGTCTGTTGCTCTCTTGTCTCTCTTGCTCTCTTCTCTCTCTCCAGTCGTTGTGTGTGTCGCTCTGTCTCTCTTGCCTCTCTTTTCTGTCGTTGTGTGTGTGCTCTTGTCTCTCTCTTGCCTCTCTCTCTCTGTCGTTGTGTGTCGCTCTGTCTCTCTTGCCTCTCTGTCTTCTCTCTGTCTTGTGTCTTCGCTCTGTCTCTTGTCTTCTCAGCTCTATGTCTCGTTGTGTGTGTCTCTTCTCTCTCTCTGCCTCTCTATTCTCGTTGTGTGTCGCTCTTGTCTCTCTTGCCTCTCTATGTCGTTGTGTGTCGCTCTGTCTCTCTTGCCTCTCTCTGTCTCTCTTTCTCGTTCTTGTTTGTCTCTCTGTCTCTCTTGCTCTCTCTCGTCGTTTGTGTGTCGCTCTGTCTCTCTTGCCTCTCTATGTCGTTGTGTGTCGCTGTCTCTCTTGCCTCTCTCTGTCTCTTGTGTCTGTCTCTTCTGACTCTCTGTCTCTATGTCGTTGTCTTCTGTCTCTGTCTCTCTTGTCCTCTCTCTTTCTTCTCTCTTGTCTCTCTCTGTCTCTCTTGCCTCTCTCTCTTGTCGTTGTGTGTGTGTCGCTGTCTGTCTCTCTTCTTCTTGTCTCTCTGTCTCTCTTCTGTTCTCTCTCTTCGTTGTGTGTCTCTTCTTTCTCTCTTCCTCTCTATGTCGTTGTGTGTCGCTCTGTCTCTCTTCTGCTCTCTATGTCTTGTCGTTGTGTGCTTCTCTGTCTCTCTTGCCTCTCTATGTCGTTGTGTTGTCGCTTTGTCTCTCTCTTTGCTCTCTCTTTGTCCTTGTGTGTTCGCTCTGTCTCTCTTGCCTCTCTCTTTGTCTTTTCGTTGTGTGTCACTTTGTCTCTCTCTTGCTTCTTCTTTCGTCGTTCTGTGTCGCTGTCTCTCTTCGCTCTCTTTTTCTTCTTGTCGCTTCGTTTCATTCTGTCTCTCTCTCTCTTGCCTCTCTGTCGTTGTGTGTCTGTGTCTCTCTTCTCTCTTCTGCCTTCTCTCTTTCGCTCTGTCTCTTCTGCTTGCCTCTCTTCTCTTGTGTTCTCTCTGTCTCTTGTGTCTCTCTTTGTTGTCGTTTGTCTTCTGTCTCTCTTCTCTTCTCTATGTCGTTTTGTGTCTTTCTGTCTCTCTTGCTCTCTCTATGTTCGTTGTGTGTCGCTCTGTCTCTCTTTTTTCTCTCTATGTCTCTGTTGTGTCTTCTTCTCTCCTCTTCTCTCTTCTTTCTTCTGTCTCTTGTCTCTTGTGTTGTGTGTTGCTCTGTCTCTCTTGCCTCTCTATGTTGTTGTGTGTCGCTCTGTCTCTCTTGCTCTCTCTATGTCGTTGTGTCTCTTCTCTCTTCTCTTGCCTCTCTCTTGTCTTTGTGTCGCTCTGACTCTCTCTTGTCATTGCTTGTCTGCCTCCCTTCTTCTCTTGCTCTCTCTTGCCTCTCTATCAGTCGTTGTGTGCGCTCTGTCTCTCTTGCCTCTCTTGTCGTCTTGTTCGTTGTGTCTCTCGCTTTCTTTCTCTCTGTCTTCTTTTCTCTTGCCTCTCTCCTCTCTTTGTTGTTGTCTTCTCTGTCTCTCTTTCTTCTCTTGCCTTCTTGTCTCGTTGTGTGTCGCTCTGTCTCTCTTGCCTCTCTATGTCTTGTTTTGTGTGTCGCTTCTGTCTCTCTTGCCTCTCTTCTGTTCTTTGTGTCTCTTTCTGTCTCTCTTGCCTCTCTATGTCTTTGTGTGTGTGCGCTCTGTCTCTCTTGCCTCTCTATGTCGTTGTGTGTCGCTCTGTCTCTCTTCTTCTCTCTTCTCGGTCGTTGTGTGTTGCTCTGTCTCTCTTGCCTCTCTCTCTCTCTTGTTCTTGTTGTCCTTCTGTCTCTTAAAGTTCTTGCTTCTCTCTCTCTTGCTCTCTCTTTCTTGTGTGTCGCTCTCTCTCTTTGCTTCTCTCTTTGTGTGTTTCTTTCTCTGTCTCTTTTTTTCTTCATTCTGTGTTGTCTCTGTCTCTCTTGTCTCTCTCAGTCATTGTGTGTCACTCTTTCTCTCTTGCCTCTCTCTCTCTCGTTGTTTTGTGTCGCTCTGTCTCTCTTCTCTATGTCTTTGTCGTTGTCTGTCGTCTCTCTCTCTCTTTGCTCTCTCTCTCTGTCTCTCTTGTCTGTGTCGTTGTGTGTCTCTGTCTCTCTTGCCTCTCTATGTCGTTGTGTGTCGCTCTGTCTCTCTTGCCTCTCTCTATGTCTTTTGTCGCTCTCTCTCTCTTCTTGCCTCTCTCTGTCTTTGTGTGTCTGTCTCTGTCTCTCTTGCCTCTCTTCTTCGTTGTTCGTGTGTCTCTCTCTTCTCTCTTGCCTCTCTCTCACTCGTTGTGTGTCTTTCTCTGTCTCTTGCCTCTCTATCTCTTCTTTTCTCTTCTTGTTTCTTGTTTCTTCTTCTCTCTTCTTGCTCTTCTTGTCTCTCTCTCTTTCTTGTTCTTGTTCTTGCTCTCTTCTTGCTCTTTGTCTTTTGTGTCGCTTCTGTCTCTCTTGCCTCTCTCTTCTTCTCTTGTTGTCTTTGTCTTCTCTCTCTCTCTCTGCTCTTGTCTCTTTTGTGTTTCTTCTCTCCTGTCTCTCTTGTGTCTTTCTCTCTTCTCTTCTCTGTGTCTTGTGCCTTCTCTCTCTTTGTCTGCGTTCTGTGTCTTCTCTTCTCTCTTGCCTCTCTCTCGTTCTGTCTCTCTTCCTCTCTCTCTTCCTCTCTTCTTCTTGTGTCTCTCTTTCTTCTCTTCTTGCCTCTCTTGTTGCTTCTATGTGTGTGTCTCTTCCTGTCTCTCTTGCCTCTCTCTTCTCTCGTTTGTGTGTCGCTCTCTCTCTCTTCTGCTCTCTCTATGTCGTTGTGTGTCGCTCTGTCTCTCTTGCCTCTCTATGTCGTTTTGTGTCGCTTTGTCTCTCTTGCCTCTCTATGTCTTTGTGTGTTGCTCTGTCTCTCTTGCCTCTCTCTTTCGGTCGTTGTGTGTCGCTCTGTCTCTCTTGCCTCTCTATGTCGTTGTGTGTCGCTTTGTCTCTCTTGCCTCTCTATGTCGTTGTGTGTTGCTCTGTCTCTCTTGCCTCTCTCTTTTCGTTGTGTGTCGCTCTGTCTCTCTTGCCTCTCTATGTCGTTGTGTGTCGCTGTCTCTCTTGCCTCTCTATGTCGTTGTGTGTCGCTCTGTCTCTCTTGCCTCTCTATGTCGTTGTGTGTCGCTGTCTCTCTTGCCTCTCTCTCTCTTGCTTGTGTGTCGCTCTGTCTCTCTTGCTCTTTCTCTCTTGCCTCTCATGTCTCTGTGTGTCTCTCTGTCTCTCTTGCCTCTCTCTGCCTCTCTCAGTCTCTTGTGTTCTCTTCTGTCTGTCTTGCTCTTGCTCTCTCTGACTCTCTCAGTTGTTGTGTGTCGCTCTGTCTTTCTTCTGTTGTCTCTTTGTCTCTCTTGCTCTTCTCTCTCTCTTCTGTTGTTGTGTGTCGCTGTCTCTCTTGCCTCTCTGATTCTTTTTCGGTCGTTGTGTGTCGCTCTGTCTCTCTTGCCTCTCTATGTCGTTGTGTGTCGCTCTGTCTCTCTTGCCTCTCTCAGTCTGTGTGTGTCGCTCTGTCTCTCTTGCCTCTCTGACTCTTTCTGTCTTTGTGTGTCGCTCTGTCTCTCTTGCCTCTCTATGTCATTGTGTGTCGCTCTGTCTCTCTTCCCTCTCTATGTCGTTGTGTGTCGCTCTGTCTCTCTATGTCGTTGTGTGTTGCTCTGTCTCTCTTGCCTCTCTCTTTCGGTCGTTGTGTGTCGCTCTGTCTCTCTTGCCTCACTATGTCGTTTGTGTCGCTCTGTCTCTCTTTCTCTCTATGTCTTTTGTCTCTGTCTCTCTTTCCTCTCTCCCTGTTTCTCTGTCTCTTTCGCCTCTCTCTGTCGTTGTCGTTGTGTGTCGCTCTGTCTCTCTAGCCTCTCTGTGTTGTTGTGTGTCGCTCTGTCTCTCTTGCCTCTCTGACTCTTTCGGTCGTTGTGTGTCGCTCTGTCTCTATGACTCTATCTGTTATTTAGTTTTGCTCTGACTCTCTTGTGTCGCTGTGTCTCTGACCGACTCTTTCTCTCTCTACCTCTCTGGCGTTGTGTGTCTGTCTCTCTGACTCTCTTTCGCGTTATGTGCCGCTTTGTCTCTCTTGTTCCTCTGTCTCTGAATCTCTCTCTCTCACTCTCTGCCGGTGTGTCTTGCTTTGTCTCTCTTGTCTCCTGTTTGTCTTTGTAATTCTCTGTTGTTGCATGTTGCTCTTCTCTCTCTCTCTTCTCTTTCTCTCTCTCTCTCTCTCTCTCTCTCTATTTTTGTCGTTGTGTTTCACTCTGACTCTCTTGTCTTTATTCTCTGACTCTCTCCCTCTCTCTGTTAATGTTTGTTACTCTGTCTCTCTTGTCTCCTTGTCTCTTTGACTGACTCTTTCTCTCTATTGTTCTGTGTAGCTATGTCTCTCTTATCTCTCGTTCCCTCTCTTTTTCTCTCGTTGTGTGTCTATTTGTCCCTCTTGTCTCTTTATCTCTCTCTGACTTTCTCTCTCTATTGGTGTGTTGCGCTCTGTCTCTCTTTGTCTGACTCTCTCTCTCTTTTTCTCTGTCGTTTTGTGTCGCTTTGTCTCTCTGGCCTCTCTGTTGCTCTGACTACCCTGCTTCTCTGACTCTTTCTCTCTCTCTGCTGTTGTATGTCAAATTCTGTGTGTATCTCTGTTTGTGTGTTAGCCTGTCTCTGTTTATCCGTGACTTTCTCTCTCTCTCTCTCTCTCTCTCTCTCTCTCTCTCTCTCTCTCTCTCTGTTCTGTTGTGTGTTTTTCCGACACTACTTCACTGTTCTAACATTTGCATGACTCTAATTTTTTCCTTATGTCTCTCTCTCTCTCTCTCTCTCTCTCTCTCTCTCTCTCTCTCTCTCTCTGGGTATATATCTCTTATTCTGTTACTTTATGATTATCGCTGTCTGTTCTCTCTATATATAAACATAATATGTGTATATATGTGTTTGGTAGTACGTTCAGTAGTTCGATTGTGTTAGATCTAGAATTCCATGTGTATTATCGCCGGAGATTCCGATTGTACGTCGCTAAAAAGAGAAAGCGAACTCTCATCTTTGTTAGCTGGAGTGATAGCACATGGTTTGTTTGAACACGTTGTTCATTGTTAATTCACTCTGTCTGCTTGCTTACCCACTAGGCTCTGCACCCCTTGGTGGTGACTTGATGTATGACAAGCTAGATATTGTGAGGGCTCTTTGGGAACGAGTGAACAGTGCAGAGGCGCAGATAGATCATTACGGTCTGAGGAGAATGGCGCTGCTAGGAGTTACTAGGGGATCTGGCCGACTCAACACTTAGGACAAGGATGAGATGGATATACAAACAGACGGTTACTGGTGCCATCGGAATTGGAACTCTTCGCTTGCTGCTGAAGATGGGGACGGAACACATATGGAATGTCCTGAGTGATGGCATGTCGATTCTTGATTAAACATTCAACCCACTAGTCGCCCTGCACGTACACCCATCTGCATGCAACCGCACCTATAAATGTATCCAATTATCTTTTTGTCATCCATCTGTCTGTCCTTCCTTACGCCCAGCCCGTCCACTCATCATGTCTATCTGTAAACCTATAAATAAGTCCACTTATCCATCCATCCATCCATCCATCCATCCATCTATCCATCTATCCATCCACTCATCATGTCTATCTATAAACCGATAAATCAGTCCACTTATCCATCCATCCATCTATCCATCCACTCATCATGTCTATCTGTAAACCTATACATCAGTCCACTTATCCATCCATTCACCCATCCATTCTCTATTTTTTAACCGATAAATCCATCCACCCATCTATCCATTTGTCTTCCACCCACCCATCCATTCATCCATCCGTCTACTCACACACTATGCCACGCATCCATCAATTTATCAGTCCATCAGTCTATCCATCCATCTACTCAACCATGTGTGTATCTTTCAGATGTCTACATATTGGCTGGCATCCTCTCACCTCGGTCACCTGGGTGCAGAGATATGAACGAGGGTGCAACTTTCGTGAATGTTCTTAATTTTACACAGTGGATTACAGATAATGTAAATCGTTACAGTAGTGGTAGACAGAAGTTTCTCCCTAACCGTACAGCTTCGAATACCAACGTCAGCGAGTAGTGACATTTCTGCATCCATTTGGTGCTTAATCTGTTTACTTTGTTTATTTCTAGATCGTCACTTTAAATATCTCCCTTCTGAATATAAAACAAAACGAAAAATATCTTGATGCACACAGCTAAATAAACTGCAGTGAAATTGTTGTGTATCCACTTTCGTTTTATTGTGTCATGTTAAATTATGGTGCATTGTAATGTATACTTATCCTTTTCTTATTGATTACAAGCAGAGAATCACAGGGCAGGCAAACAAGTGGAAATTATAAGGGATGAGGAAGCGAGAACACCGGAAAGAAATCCTAAGTTTTTAAAAGGAGTAGAAAATTAGAGGGAAGAAAAAAAGTTGGTAAGAAACAACAAACAGTTTATGTTAGCTTTACAAAATCGATGACAATAAACGAACAAAGGACGTTGCGGCGATCAGCCTTTATCAGCACAAAAAGAACAATACAGTACACATACACAAATATGCTCTAACTATGAAGTGACTACATGGGACTAGTGTACACTAAGGATAGGGGAATAGGGTCTAACACAAATACTGTACGCTAGAACCAACACATAAACAGCAACAATGGTAACACTGAAATAAGGTAAACTCAATCAGTGCCACAGTAACACACAGACAAGACCATACGATGAGTTGCAGTATGAGGGTGGTGATAATATATATCGGCTAATAAGGTGACTGCGGTAAAGCTATAATAAGTTTTTAAAAGGAGTAAAAAATTATAGGGAAGGAAAAAAATCCTAAAACGAACGTTAACAAAGAGGTCAAAGTTTCGGTGTTTACAGACTGGATTCTTTTCGTGATATTAAACAGACTGACTATGATAGAACGAAAAAGAGAAAAGATTGCGAGCTATTTATGTCATTTTAAAGCACAAACACCTAACTTTTATTCTCCCGATCTGTTCTGTCATGTGCAATCTTTTCGATATCATAGATAGACAAATGGGCAATCCTCCAATTAACGGGCACAAAAAATGGCGGCCGCAAAAACACCCTAACAGAGCCTCAGTCACGTGTCAATCGCGCACTTCCGGCGACTTAATTTGTGGTGTTCCGGCGACCACCGCCACCGCCGAGAGTATCCCGCAGCCGCTCACGCGGCGTGGATTGGGGCTAAACTAGATGGCTGGGACTCACGAGCAGCAGCTTCCGCATCTCCTGCAGCTTTACTCGTGAGTCCCAGCCATCTAGTTTAGCCCCAATCCACGCCGCGTGAACGGCGTAAGGCATACTCTCGGCGGTGGCCGTAGTCGCCGGAAAACCGCAAATTAAGTCGCCAGAAGTGCGCAATTGACACTTGGCCGAGGTCCTGTTTTTGGCCGCCACTGGCCGCCATCTTTTGTGCCCGTTATTCGGAGGATAGCCACAAATGCATCAATGACCTTTGGCCTCTCTCATCAACTTTGAAGGTTTTCAAATTATAATTTTGTTCTCAGGTAACTTGTTCGATTGCAGCTGGGGGTGATTTGGCAGACCTCTTTCGTTGATTTTCACAATGATATCGCGAGCCAGCCATTAAGACAACACAGTGGTAACAATTCTAGTATGTCAACAAAACACTTTAGAACTGCGTTTTGTCTAGTCAAATAGTGAAATATTGTAGGCGTCTACACTTGTGTTGTCGGCTCTGTGGCTAGGTCGATGCGAACGCTTCGTAATGCCAGGGTGCCGGGTTCGATCCCAGCTGCGGGCCATGCGCCTTGCATTGCTTTCGACACTGGAATCAGGGGGCCGACTGTCCAGAAGCAATGGCAAACTACTGGACATAACTTTGCCTATAAAAACCACACAACAGCTAGGAGAAGGATATTAATCATGGCAATAGCGTTGCTACACTAACACACTCAACGGCAACACCAGTACTAAAATAATCTCTCCCACTCTCAACAGACGACAATAGATTACAGCCCTGGCCCAATGCTAAAGGCACATAAAAGAGATGGCGATTTTTACTTTAGTTTACTTTTAGGGCTGTTATCGCTTTGCTGGATTTAGACAAGGAAGAGGAACAAGAGATCACACACTCAACGTGCGTTTAATAATAGAGAAGTCCAGAGAATTAAATGTTAAACTATTCGCATGTTTTATGGATTATTCAAAGGCATTTGACCTCAGAAACTTTGGGAAGTCATAAGGAATATAGGCTTTCTATCAATGCTCTATCAGGACCAAAAAGTAGCGATAAGAGAAGATGGCGAGACATTAGACTTTTTTGGGGCATAAAGCAAGGAGACCGTCGGGGCTGTGTGCTGTCACTCTATTTGTTTAATCTGTACGCCGAAAATATAATGAGAAATGTCAGAGATGACATAACCAGTCTGCGAGATGAGATATTTGAAAATGGCTGTGAATAAAACCAGGAGAGATCGAGTGAGAAACAAAGAATGAAATGGTTTGGCCATCTAATGAGAATGTAACCAACGATGCCAACAGCGAGAGCGCACAACCTGAAAATCGAAACATCAAGAGGCAGGAGAAGACCGAGGAGAATATGGACTGAAGGAGTCACTGACACTTTGAAACTGCATAACATCACGGCATATTAAGCGACTGAGCAAGCCCTGGCTCGGCTGCCGATCGTCCGATGAACTGCGACGCCTAGCGGCATAAGCAATTATTGACAAAATGAGAAGAAGATTTAAACGTGATTTTCTGGAAACAAGAATTTAACACTTCGGCGACATTATCCTAGTGCCAGTAATAGCAAGAGATTGGCTAAAAGTCTTTACATTAACTAATAAATGCCAACGAGTATTTTACATTTCAAAGGATTAATTCAAGGCTCCTTGTATTTGCCTTTATTTAATAAGTATAGACATTGTTAAAACACTGTTTATTTTTGAAGAATATATTTGTTAATTATGCGTGCAAAGAACAAGAAAGACAAGATTTACGAAGAAATAAATACAGAAAGAAGAAACGAAGAGGCCTAAAATCAGCTTCCAAATCAGGAAAACGGATAATCGCGGTTCTAACTTAATAGCGCAGATCATCCCACAGTTCCATAGTTCCTGTGCCAATCGGTATAAGTAACCCTTACAAAAGTTTAAAAGATACACGCAGCTATTTAATCGCATAAGAGACCATAAGTCCTTTGAAAGAAAGGCCACTCACAATTTTCTAAATCTACAGTTTACAACACGAACCAAGTTGCGCACACCGAAGAGCATTCCAAGTGAAATCTGCAGCTCACGGTGTCACACAATGCATCACACGCAATAGCCTGGCGACGGAACTATATAATTTTAATCTGCATATGGTGGACAATGCAACGGTGAACTACTGTCAGAACTTAACATGACTAAAAACCTGCTCATCTGCCATATTTACGGGAAGGTTTCCTGTCAAAATAGATGCTAGGCTCGGTCACTGTTTTTAGTCGTGGCAAACTGTGTGCTTCTGACAGACGGTGGCCGTTGCGTTTTCTCATTTGTAGACTGAAAGGACAGAGTTTTGTTGTCCAACTACTGAGTTGAGTGCATGGCGCGACACTGTGGGCTGCGGATTTCATGTGAACGTTTTTCGACTTTGACTAACGCCGTGTTGTCAACTGTAGATTCGAAAAATAGCACGTGGCCTTTTGCCACAGAATTGGTAGTGCCTTATGTGATCAATATCCCTGTAACTGACAACAAGCAGAAATAAACCGGCTCTACAAGTTTTTGTACACCGGCACGGGTTACATGTTAAAGATCAAGGGTTAGGAGTGTCAAAGGTATGTTGATTCTGTTTACAATAAGAAAGCTAGCATGGGGAAAGTAACGTAATCAATGAAGTATCGATGGCACATTGATTAGGTCATCAAATATGTATACCGGTTACAAGATGGGAAACGTTGAAGTAGGATATATTTTTACTTATAATTGTATTCCAGCGTTAAAGGTTTGAGGTTTTAACAACGGATCAACATCATGGTAGAGGGGTAGTAACCCTTAAGTGCTCTGTTCTTCTTCTAACTCAAGTCGAGACCGAAGAAGCTCAACACACTTCATAGGCTCTGTAGCACGGGCGAGAATTCTAAAATACTTTAGGTAGATTTTTTTTTTTTACAAACCCCAAATTTTGCCCGGGCCGCTCCGTTAGGCTACTCTTTTCGATTTCCAACCGCCAAGGGATTTTTTTTACGCCCGCAACAATGCACACGGGCGTCCGATCTCACTACCCAGAGACCAGGGAGAATTTACTAGAAGTCCAAGTCCACGAGAAAAAATCCCAGCCCTTACCGGAAGATTGAACCCGGAACCTCTAGCACTCAAGGCGGACACCATGCCTCAAGACCACGCAGTCCCCATCAGCGTTAATGAAAACTTCAGATATGATTATATAATAATAGTCTGTTTTCACACAATATCACACCGTATATTTCTTCTTCTTCGCCTCTCATCCTCCTCCTTCTCCTTCTCGATCCCCTTCTGTAACAGCTGCTGCTTCCTTTTTTCAACACGTATCAAGTGTCATCAGCTTCCTTCATCGTCACCACACGCACTACTTTTACTACTACTAGCGCCACCACGACCACAATAACTTCTACCATTACTACTACTGCTATCACTCCTATAATAAAAACTACTTCTGTCACTGCCGCTGTTGCTGCTGATACTATCATCACTGCTATAACAACAGTAATTACTACTACTATGACCACTGCTGCTGCTGCTCCAACAACAGTTATTACGACTACTATTATAGTTACTGCTTCTGCTACAAAACTACTACCGTAACAACGACTACTGCTACTACTACTATCATTGCTGAAAAAAAAAAACTACTACTGCTACAATAAGGGCTGCTGCTACTAATACAACCATCATGCTGCGCTACTACTACTGCTGCTTCTGCTATAGCTACCAGTAATTTCTGTTGACGATGTATTTGTAGGTGAAGAGGCACCTTGGAATGGCTAAGCACGCATGGGAATGCCCAATGTGCAGTGACGTCGAGTGTGATAATATAAGGTTGTCCAAGAGAGGCAGGCCAAGCGGTTAAGAA